ACACGAAGAGCAGAATCGTTAGGAATCTATCTGGAAGCGAAGTTGCAGTCAACCATCCTTTGCACTAGTGTAGTCAATCCCATCCCACTCCATTCGAAGACGGCGAAAAAAAAGCAAATGTGTTTGGCAATCCATTCACTCCCTCGCGATCATCCACCTGCTAACTACTTATTTATTTACGCTTGTTTTTTAGTCTTGCGTTGCAGCAAAGAAGCCTATTCTACTAGCGCCTCAGATTTCGTCGTTTGGGAGTTGACAAAACGATATTCGCCATGGAGCAAACCACACCAAAAGCCGAAAAATTTTCGGCGACTGTTATCATGGCGTTTGCAAAATCATGGGCGGTTATAATGTTATATGTTTGCTGTGCTGTAATTAAGTTCAATTTCAGATAGGACCTCTTTTTGTCTTGAGATGGAACTAGCATCTTTTGAATATCAGCTTTTTTTCCCAGCGACTGAGCTTTCATCTAAAAATTATGAGGTACCTATGAATTGATTCCTAGGAGGTGTGCATTTGAGCACAGATTGGTGAGCTCTTAGGGATTGTTGATATTCTATTATCGATCTTTCGCGAGAAATTCTAAGCGCTTCGCAACAACTATACTGTCAGCAAGACCGATTGAGAACAATAGTGAGCGAGCGAGTGCGACCTGTTTGCTTGGAGCATCCAAGTTATCGATTACTCTGCATGTTCAAGTGCTTTTGGGAGACAAGTGCGCTTTTATAGTTTTCGTGCTGGTCACAGTTTGAGTTGTTTGGCTATGTTTTTTTTTCTTCTTAACACTTCCTCAAAGTTTTCCAGTTCTTCGTTTTAAAAGCTAAAATGATTTGTAGGCATGAAACTTAGTTGAATCATTTCATTTAGAGACTCTTGGACACATGAATTTGCGACCTGTTCCAGGAGTTGCACAACTTTCACAAATTTATTCTTCCGTTATCATTCGAATCATATGTTTCACGGAACTCGTTTACATCACGCGTCGTGACGTCATACTGGTTACGCTGCGCTCATCTCTTGCATTTCCGTTTTGTTTCACTTTTACTTTCAGTGGCTGAAGCTTCCGTTATTGCCGCAATTTCAGGAAAATGACGCTTTCGTAAGAGACTGGCTTTCCAAAAGAACGTCATTTTTCTTGTTTAGGGACGAGGCCGAGGAATGGACGATGGCGACTCCAACAGATTACCAGTATTCTTGTCCGTAAGCGAAATAGAGTTCCCAGTTTCCGAGCGCTCACCCCGACGTGTTATAACCGTCTATAATCCTTATGGATATTCAATCCAATACAAAGGCATGTACTCATGGTTTTTCCCTTTTGTATATGTCCATATTTCTCGGCTTAGATGCGAGCGTCGTATTATCGTATCTAGACATCGCATTCTCACGCATACTACAAAACAGTTGCCGCAAAATGGTCCTTTCCGTGTCATTTACAAAGGATTCAAACAGCTTTGCTTTCTTTTCTATATCGAGTAATTCTAATTCAGTAAGGAGTTTTCTTACTCTATGTTGAAATTAAATCAATCTCTTGCTTAGATTAACAGCTGGTCTTTTCTCTTTATTTTTTGTTGTTTTTTCTGTTATTAGTAACCAAAGATAATTAATTGATTACTCGAAGAATTTTTGATCGGCATACAATTTCGACCTGAGATTTCGACGTAGAACGAAACGAGTTCGGAATTATCATGAGGTCACCATATTGTTTATTTGTTGTGTATGTTTATACTTCAATCAAACGGTGACCGAAACATTTCAATGTCTGGTTTCTTGTGGATACAAACATTTGCATTTCTTTTCTAGAACTTTTGTATATTCCATCTTCCTCCTTGTTCTGATTTATAGATTTCAATTTTCATTCCAGTGCTTTGCAATGCCCTTGGCAATTACTCTGTATCCAATGCCAAAGGAATACTTCATGCAAATTGCTGCAAAGACTTGTGGGTATCATTTCAATAAATCTCCAATAGTTTAAAAATATCAACATCTAAATCTTGTTGCCATTAACCTCATTTAGAGTTGTAAAATGCACGACTAAACTTAGTGTTGGTACAACTGATTGTCTTCGCGTGGAAATCATGAGGCAAGGTGAAACAGAGGTAATCTCGAATTAATTTACTATTATACATTCAAATTTATAACATTATCTTGCTGACGTAGAATACAACTGTTGTTCATTCCCAATCTGTACCTTGATGCACACAGACTGAGTTGCTTTTCCATATACTAATTAATTTCCAATTATTCTAATCGTAGATTTGGAGTTACTATATAAGTTTTTGCAAAATGTTATTGCTTTCAACGCTAGTCTCAATTAGGTTTTGGGAAGTCGAGACCTACTACTTCGTACTGTTAGCGAAAGGAGTCCAG